CTCGTCCGTAATTATATGGAGAGATAAGAAACTAAGCTAAAAAAGAAACGTCGAATAAACTAAACAAATAACTCGAGTGTTCGGGGGAAAAAAAATCCGCGCTTCCACCATTCTATTCCGTCCGCTATGGCTCTGAGTTGAATTGCGGGCTCTCGCTGATCGATTTCCATTGGTGAACGGCGAGATGTACCGACTGATGGTCGCGAGGCACGCGAACTGGGATCCTCTTCGCCTTTGCCGCAGGGGTTACGTAGAGTGATGAATATGCCATTTGTTCATCTTGAAAACTGGAAGTGATAAGGTCTTACGCGGTGCTTGGAACAAATGACGTCCGTTTGCCCAATACCCAAAGTTTGGTATCGCGTGCTACGGCATCCCGAATTCCACACTACCTTTAGATTTTTTTGCTGAACGTAACAACTGCTGTTACATTTTGGAGGTGGGTAACAAATCTTTACTACGGCGGTACACGCAAAAACTAATGTTTGTAGAGTTCACTAGCGAGTTTCAGCCAATCGGTCCGTTACCACCACAACCGCATTACAATAGTATCCTATGTTGCGCAATAACCGACACTGTTATCTTAAAAAAAACAATAGTTCTCTTTCTAAGTGTTTTTAGATTACAAAAGTAGTGATATAAATACATAGACGACCTAATCGGCCAGTCCGAGGTTGAGGGGCGAGTAAAACTTCTAAACCCGCAGAAAGGTTCGGAACTCTCGGGTTTTCGCATTTACGAAAATTGATATCTTTGTGGGCTAAAATTGATACCCCTGGGAATAAACAAACAAGGAGAATAATTTTTTTTATAATATAAGAAAATGTTGTTCGCCCAATTCATTGCTTATTACGTAATTACATATTTGACAAAGACGTGTTTTTCATAACAAAAAAATTTGAAAATAAAAAAAAATAAAATCAAGCTCTGTAAACGCACTTACCTAAACTATTTCTCTCTCTGTCATCTATTTTACTTGTAGAATAATATATTTTGGTTACACTTCAATTTACAAGAAATTGCTGGGAGTTAATAAAAGAAAAAAATTAAGGCTCCAATCCACGTTGTGAAGGCGATTGGATAGCGAAGCTGTGGTGTCCCCTGCTACGACTGCCCAGTGCCCACTCCATTATAGACCCTTTTTATGGCAAACGCCACCAGGTGGTGCTCCAGTCTTTGGCGTCCAAGAGCACGTCCGGTTTATAAAAATAATTAATGACGACTGTCCATAGCAACGAGGCCACCTAAACACCGCTGCTCGATATGTAGATGAAACGCTTAACTACCAATTCTCCAAGTGAACGCCGAAAGAAGGAAGAAGTGCGAAATATGTCATAATGTTTCGAGTATTCTTGTAAACCAGCTTGCCTCCTCCAAGATGGAATTTCGTACAGCCAAAAGCCCTCGTTCAATGTTCCACTTTGTTGTCCGTGTAGCATTTCTGCCTTCTACCACTACTGACATAAGCAAGCTCAAGAGGCTTGCAAAGACGGTGCGACCGGAAGTTTTTGGGACGCAAGCGGCAGTTCATGTTTGTAAACAGCAAAAGGTCTATACCAAATCATTTGTGGAAGAAAAGTAAATACACTATACAAAAACGTTTCTTTATATACATGACAGGCTTCGTATGTTGCCCTTGCCGCGTCAGCTTATGCAACCTCAGTCTTTATCGGGAAACTCATGCGGGACGCGCTACTTGCTTATCATCTATCACGTGGTTTTGACGCGTGTCTTGGGGTCTTCTTATTGAAACAAGTATCAAAATCACATGAGTAGAGATAAGGCGTGCGCGATCGGTGATAAGGCGCGCCCGTGGGTCTTCTCTCGATGGACACGAAGAAACCAGACCAATCACTCATATACAGCTTCGCTCTAAAACGAGCAGCGTTTTTCTCCTTAACTCACAGCCAAAACAATCGTCCAAGCAATGTGAAGTCGATTATATATCGCCAATGTTTATCATAGAAACGCGCTGCGATTGGCATAGCGCAGGACACGCGGTGAGCTCCAGAAATTGTAGGGTTCGGCTATTGTCATCATTGCAGCGGTTGGATACGAGCCGCTACTCAAATGCATATCGAGCTAGTGATTATCGCGACCCAAAATCGAGTGCTCACTCCATGCACAAGTCAAATCTATGAGTCGCATTCAAATATCGTCACTGGGGGACTATGCCAGTACCACCCCCAGATCCTTCACTCCACCTCCCGTCGTTTGAAGCGTCATCTATATTTTCGTTTCATAACTGTGTGCTCCATAGAGCACGATGAAACGCCATCTAGACGCTGCGCTTTGAAACGTACGTATTCCATAGCAGACACTGCAGTTTCAATTGCAGCCGTCCCCAAAACGGTGGCGCGTCGAACCACGCGTGAGGCGCGCCGTGGAAGGAGAGGGGGCACTGTTCGTGGAAACAGCGTCTATGGGTAGTTCTGTAACTTAGCTGGTCTATTGACGTTGGACTATGCCAACACTGCAACCTCCAAACTGTGTGTCCAAGTGGCGCGAAGTCTCGAGAGATTGAAAGCGAACGCTCACCTTTGTTCTTACAATTACACCGCAACAAAGATTTCTTGGTCAGTGTCAGTAAGCTCGTGTAAAGTGAAACACATCCCAGCACGTGCAAGATGTCATGGGTACATTGAGGAGCTATTCATTATATATATATATATATATATTGGTACAAAGTTGGGCTAGAACTCAACTCAAATCTACGGAGCATCCGTCGGAAAACACGTACGTCCGCCCAAAATTCCACAACAGCGTAGATCCATCCACCGTCAATTCTGTCGGCAGCGCGTCCAGACTTAACTATGGTACTCGGACAAAAATTTTAGAGGTGAATGTTTTCATCGGCCTTGGTTTCAATCTCGTCGATACAAAGGCAGAAGCCACGGCCCTCGCGGGCTTTACGCCGCCGCGTTCATGAAAGACTCCGCGGCCAGCGGTGCGCTACGGGCTCGCATGTTTCTTCAAAGCTGATTCAGCTTTGAATAGTTCTGAATGGAGCTCGGACCATTCAGAAGCGTTCTAATTACTGTCGCGTGGGGCAGGCGCTCAATTAGGCTCGCCCAAACGAGAAGAATGTGAATCTCAATTAGGCGTCCGCGCAGAGAACGGCGCGCAGATGAGAACCTTTGACAAGACCGCACAATCCTCATTACTAATGCTTTGCGCGAAACGGTTGGTTTTAAGTATTCAGACGTCGGAACCTCGTAGCAACCATAAAAGAAAGGTCGCTTTGAGAGATTCAAATCTTGTGTCGAGACAACCATCTCAAATTGAAGTGTTTTCGTGTCTTGCAGTTTATATCGGGGTAAATCTGTGTAGATCGGTACGATTATAACCCCTGTATGACTTCGTGTTTTATGCTATTCGTGGAATTATCTCACGTGAATATGTATATATTACCACGACTTATAAAAAATGTTTTGATCAGCCGGCGTGGTAAGGTAAATATATAAAAGCAATATTGCGGGATCCCGCTTTTTTAATTATGACGGAACCGACAGTATATAGATAGTTGACTCTCCAAGATGCCAATTAGCGTAGTCGGGACGATTACACTCGACTGATAAAAAAAAAAATTGTACCTCGGTGAGTGAATATTAATACTTCTCGATCGTTTTCATTGGGGCCGGTGACACGTAAAAACGGAATTTTCTCGAAGATGGCCCACAGCGTCTTTTTTTTTAATATTTTGTATAACAAAGCCGGCACTTCTAGTTTAGTGCAAAGGTGGGAAGCGATTATCTTCCACAATAATGAGGAGTCTAAGGAAGGAATAAACTCTGTAAATGACAGTTAACAAACAAGTGCCGCTCGCGGAATTTTATACTTCCAAAAAGCAAAACAAAAAAAGAAAAAAAGAGAGAAATAGAGAGAGTATAAATGAAGGTTGTAGAGAGTAAAAGCAATCGCCGAGTCTCATTATGCGCTGCATTCCCTCTGTAGGTCGCAACAGTACGCAATTTCACCTCGTTATAAACTAGTCAAAGTTATTCACAGCTTCACGCAACAAGGTGCACTGACTGAATTAAATCGCCTCTTCTGGCCCCTCATTTTTAAAAGCAGAACTGTCAGTGAATATCCATTCTTCTCGGTCCTTTTAGATTTACAGCGCAGATAGAGATGGCGGGCATCACTTACACAATCCGAATGTGAATATGAAATGATACCGAGCAAGGGTTGGTCTGCTTCTTGCACAGGGGTTGCGATGATGTCAGAACGTCGAACACTTATTGGCTGATTGAAAAACAAATAGTGGGTAGACTTCCAGGCGTCTAGCATTGAGGCCTACCCACTATGTTTCACTCAAAGCGAATCGGGGCTCAGCTTCGTTTTGACGTCACCGCGACTCCTGCTCAAGAAGCGGACGATCTCCGCGTTGATCTGATGGGAATACAAGGTGGAAAACCGCGTAAATTCAATACATATCTTACGGAGCCTGGTTTCAAACACGATTCACCTAAGCACCTGTTAGGTAAGCTAACCACTGCAGTCAACCGAACTTCGCACACTGGAGCGGTAGGTGATATACAGCTGGGTGGATGCCGTTTCATCTCCAAGTACTTACTCTATTATCAATACAATTAAACGTAAAGAAACAAAAAGAAGGCCATAGTAAAAAAATGTTATAATTATATAATTATTAAGATAGAAGTTTGTTCCAGAACTGCTGCGGGAGAGCTAATTCACACAATTGCAGTGAGCCCGCCCCAGTCTGAGCCTGCAAGTATGCATCACGCATTATTATCCAAGACCTGATATCGGTGTGTTCCTTCGTCGGCATCATTTAGTAGCTGCAAGCAACCTCACTGGTACGAAGTTCGGACCCGGGTGGACACTAAGCCCAACCTACACGATACTTTTTTTCTAAACTGTAAGCTAATATCCCTGTCAATGACATTAGCCATGAAGAGGTTTTTACATCCAAGCCTCTGGCGTACGTTTCGGGATTCAGTCTGGCGCGTAATCAAAGCCCAGAATACATCACTCACATCTGACCCTGAGGTTGACCGGGTTGCTCTCCCCCTGGCCTTCGGAGTTGGTGGCCGTGCACGTGTAGCGCCCCCTGGAGCGCCTGTCGACCTTCTGGAGCACCAAGGACTGGTTGCTCACGATGACGCCTGCTGAAGTGTTGGTGGACAGGTCCCGGCCGTCGAAGCGCCAGCCGATGTCGCTCACCCAGGGACTGGCCCGGATGTCGCACTCCAGAAACACGTCGTTGCCCTCCTGGATGTGTTGGTGGCGCAGCTTGCTGCCCAGACGCAGGTTTAGCTGCGGTATATCTGCCCCGGCAAAGAAGAAGGTCAGGAGCTTGAGTTCAAGAAACTAGGGAGCCTAACCCTAAAGAAAAATCGAAGCGGCTCTGTATGAAAAAAAAACTTCTAAATCATCCTCTTTCGGCCTCCAGGATTTCAATTACCCGAGATTAGTTTTCAATATGGTCGACATAGGCTGCAGAAATTCATTTTCGAAGTAGCGCTGAAGCCCCTCCTTCTCAGAGTATGGCGTCCTATTAGGAGTTCTAGCTCCGCTCTCGCGCATCGCCTATCGAAGCTAAGCACGCGCACTCTTGCTATTTTCAAAAAAAGATCAGAAAAAGACATCACGACTAGTGTCAGTGCGGGGAATATACCTGGCAAGCTTGCAATTGCAAGCGCTAACCACACGAGCGACACGCGCTTGGCTGCCGAAAGGTCTGGGTATGACGTAACGACTGGTCGGAGGTTTTTCGCGTTTTCTCGCGTTTAGTTACATCTTCGGGGAAAACGAACGTGGTACTCAGATTCACGGAATAAAAATACTTTAGAGTTTGCCTCTAACTCGCTTTTTTTCATGAACCTCTTTAGCTTCCCTTTAAGACAATGAGCAACTTAAATCACAGAGAGCGTTTGCCATTTCATGGCGGACGCATCGTGCGGGGATTGATATATAAGTGCGCTTAATACTACTGCTACTACTATGACTGCTACTGCTACCACTACTACTACTACTGTCGAGACCGGTTATAACGAAGTCGGTTATAACGAAATAGCGGCTGCAGCCAAGCAATCACGATTTCCCACTCCCTTTTGCACTTCGTTAGTTGAAGTCGGTTATAACGTAATTGCGGGTATAGCGAAGTGATTTCCGCTTCTCGTTGAGTTCGTTCTAACCGGTCTCGACATTACTACTACTACGAATAAATATAGTTTATTGGCACTAAATCAATCCTATACATTTTATTCTACCTCACATAAGCACGTGCGTGCTTGTGCGCGAGAACGCGCAGTGAATTCGAAAAAGTGCTTATCATACACATAAGGGAAGCATACAAACGCAAATATGTCGATCAGTCTCTCTGCATGCAGATGCATTTTTTTTACATGATCGCGAACTTCCTTTTGTAACAATACACGACACTTCTAAAAACAGAAAAAAAAAGAAAGAGAACAGAAGCAATAAAATGTCACTAAAGAGAATCTGACAAAGTTCTGTATTGAAAAAAAAAAAAAAAAAAAAAAAAAAAAACTTAAATAATCTTCATTTGACCTCCAGAATCACAAATGTCGAGATTAGTTTTCAATGTGGTGCACGGAGGCAGCAGAGAATAATTTTGCAAGTACCGCTGAAGCCCCTCCTTTGGGAGCGTGACGTCATATTAGGAGTTTTCGGAATCTCCGCTCTCGAGCATCTTCAGCGCCTATCAAAGCGAGGCACGCGCACTCTTTCTGATTTGAAAAAAAAAAAGGCCAGAAAAAGACGTAGTCACAGGAGTCAGTGTACGGGAATATATCTGGCAAGCTTACGCCTGATCGCGCCGCCCACACGAGCGACACGTCTTTGTTGGCCGAAAGACCCTAGTATGACGCAACGACGGGTCGGAGGTTTTTCGTGTTTCCTCGCATTTAGTTCCATCTTCGGGGAAAGCGAACGTAATATTCGGATTCACGAGATAGAAATACTCTAAGATTCACCTCTAACTCTTTTTTTTCTTCAATAACCTCTTCAGCTTCCCTTTAACTATTAGCCATAGTTCTTGCACAGGAGTTGTGATGATGCCAGAACGCCAAACACTGATTGGCTGAATGAAAAAAAAAAAATAGTGGGGAGGCCTCAAGGCATCTAGCAATGAGGTCTACCCCCTACCTTTTCAATGAAAGCCAATCAGAGCTCGGCGCCGTTCTGACGTCACCGCAATTCCTGCGCAAGAAGTAGGCGACTTGCTCTCCGCATGGCTAAAAGCTTTCTCTTGTAATAATGCAAAGCACTTCTAAAATAACAACAAAAAACAACAACAGAAGTAATGGAGTGTTCTTAACTATTAGCACGTAGAACATACACTTCCATAGTACCTAGGCTAACTTTGCCACGTACTGTAGAACTACACCACTAATGAAAATCTTAAAAAAGGTATACAACAGTAAACATTTTGCACAAAAACATTCTTAAATACAGTATAAGAAAACCCGTACGAAGAAAACATTGCAAGCAAGAAGACAGTTATAACGCCATTCAGTATATAATTATAGCACCTTTGAATTTAGGCAGGAGAGGTTCAGGTTAAACGCAATGTATTACTCGTGCCTCTGTCTGCACTACCGGCGTATTTTTACTTTTGGCGATGATGTTGATGTGGAATTTAGCAGATCAACGGGAACCTCGTTAAAGTAGCTTCCCGATGTTTCCTCAATATTTTCTCGACCTCTTCCCCCTAGGTCGTGTATATTCTTGGAATGTAAAATTTGTGGTGCGTGTCTCAGTAATTTTTGTGTTTGCTTTTGTTTCTGAAATGAACAGAAAGTAATACCTCGTTAAGACCACGACTTGCGGAAGCCACCAACCTTCAACAGATTGAGTTCTGTGAGGTGTTCAAGCTGAGTGCCGTTGGGTATATTTTCTTATCATCATTTTATTCGGATAGTTATTTTTTATTCTTTGCAATTTTAGCATACGGCGTAAATCATACTTCTATATCTTGGATTTGACTTACCTAACATGTGGTAAATCATTCGCCTTAGGCCAATGTCTGCGCAGCTTCGTAATCTATAAAAATAGAATGAGGTTATATACGTAAAGACAGGGGACGGGACAAGTGTCTTTACGTATATAACTCTTTCTAAACCTACATCATTACCAACGCGCTCACTAACAAATCTAGAAGGAAGTTGATGTCTATTTTATTATTCATGAAATGAGCCGCATATTCGAATAAAAGTGTCGTGCTTCATTTTAGTCAAAAACCATACAGACGCTGCTTATTAGCGAGCACTTGTCACGAAACGAGGTCATTATTCTTATAACAGAGTTCTCTATTTCTCGAGCAATGGTTGGCAGTATTGCGATGGGTCTGTAATTGTTTAACCTTTTTTTGTTTCCTTTTTTATAAATCAGCCCGACTACTGAAACTTTCAATTTGTTAGGTATATTTCCTGTAGCCAGAATGCCGTTTATTATCGCCAGTAGAACGTGCGCCAAGTTGCTCAAATTAATTTGCAAGTTTCTGAGCTGTATTTTATCGTATACTGCTAGCTTTGCGGCAGACATATGGCTAACCACACGTTGTAGATCAGAAACTGTCCTTTGCGCTAAATACGTTGAGTGCGAAAAGTGCCCTAAAAGTTTTCCTTTCTCTTCGGCTTTGCTTATTTGATTCCGCAAATATTCTACCTTTTTTAACGAAAGCGTTATTGATCGTATTAAAACTAGTTAGACCGAACGCTTTCTTTATAATCTCATCGACAGTGTCTTTTGGATGTTTTCCAATTGTTTGGTTCACAGTATTCCACGTTTTTCGCAGGTTTTTTACGCACTGCTTCAGATACTTCTTATAAAACTTCTTTTTTGCCAGTCTAATTTTTGAAGCTACTATGCTTCGTATTTGTCGAATTTTCGCTCTTAATGTTGCATCCTGTGGATTTTTCTTGGACCTGTTCCACGTTTTTTTGTTAAATCGGGTCACTATTTCTTTTTTGTCAATCTAGTTGAATCCAAGCTTTCTTTGTTTTAGCTTTATCATCCTTGTGGAATGCTCGTAATGAGTTTGAATTTCTGAACCACCGCTTCATGGAAGCTGACATGATCGAGGTGCAGCAAAGGGTTACGGGGATGTCTCTTAATAGTATAGCCTATCTTATTGCTGTCTATAATTTCTTTATATAGACGATTTGTTTGATTAAACTTACGATTCCGATACATTGTTCTAAGTGCAACGAAGTAATGATCTTTTGCTTTATAATTCCAGCTATAAACTTCAAATTTCTGGTCAATACACGTTCTTGTAAAACTGTCACTAGGATACTCCTCTTTTGTGATTATTAATTAAATTATTTAACCCTTAAATGAACGATATGTCAAGATATTCCGTTTCTCCATTTTTGTTGTGGCCCTGGATGTCATGTTATAGTCGCCTGCTAGCACAATATGATCATTATTATTGAAGTGATCGAAAATGCTCATCCGCAGCGTTGTCGCGTGGCGAAGAGGAAAGCGGATAAAGAGGCGGGGACGCTTCCAGACGATCAACACTTTCGTCATTTCCTTGCAGCTCATATTCCTCGTATTTCCCCCCGATCGAGCATTGAAAAACGCTGAAATTTCAGCACACGACAAGAAAGGATAACATGCGGGCAGCTCGGTGGCACAAAGTGTTCGATCAGGCTGCTCGAATAATGTTAAATCATCTCTTTCCTTCTGATGGCCGGAGATAAATGTCAAATCATTTCTGGCCATCTGATTACCAAAATATAATTTAACACTACGGGCAACCTGGTCGAACGCCTTGAGTACGCCCACAAGTGTGGCGAAGCAAAATGTTCAAGAGATCCATTCTTCCTCTGCTTTCCAGTTCCCGGCTCTTCGCCCCCTCCCGTACTTTCCTATGAAAAACGTAAAGGCTCATTCACACTACGCCGTCGCAAGAGGCCTAAAAACCGGTCTTGTCTCAGACGGTCGTACTCGGTTGCGGTTACGACTGCGCGTGAGTTATCGGTTGACGTAAACATGAACGGGAAGACGGAGTTCGAATAGTAACGTTTATAGAATTTGAACTCTAATAAGAGATCCAAGGGCGGCAAGTATTTTAATATACCATCATCTGTTTCTGAGTTTAGTCATCTACCTCCTCCTTCCTTAGTTACGAAATCTCTGAGCAGTAGATACTTCACAAGAAGCATATGTTTAAACAATGCTATAATTTGAACAGAGTTATGGCGAGAGCAAATATAATGTTGTGAACTTTTGATAAATTTCTAAAGTTGAGCTTTCTGTTTGACAGTATGAAAGAGACTAGCAGTGTTTACTAATT